ATGGAACCCAGAGCTCTGTAATTGCTTTTCTTTAACATTGTAATAAATATTTTAAAGGTTGTTCTGACTTTGACTCTTTCTCAGAAACGAACATGCAGAACGGTTAAGTCTAACAGTACTTATCAGTATGTTATGTTATGTTATGTTGTATTCTAGTAAAGTTTTGAAAAATCTGCATTTTCTGAATTTTTTAAGGTGTGTGTGTGGGGGGGGCTGGGGAATCTAAAATCTCGCCCAGGGCACCAACAGAGCCTGGGCCGGCCCTGGTTGGCATTGCCCACCAGGAGTCCATAAATAATGTCTTTTTGAACTCATTTAGGAGGTGAATCTTTGATTGGAGCCAAACAAAAACCTCATGCCAAAAGTTCTTCACAAACGTACATTGGAAAAAAACAAGATGTTCTGCATTTTCATCTCCGTCACAAAATACACAATTATTGGATTCAATACCAAATCGATGTCTCAACAAAGCACTGGATGGATATATGCCATTTAAGGTTTTAAAATTAAGCTCCTTGGCTTTCGGAGCGACAGGGAAACGCAAATACTTTGTCCGTAACAAGCAAACAGTTTGAAGAAGAAGAAGAAGAAAAAGCTATGGCGTCACTTCCGCAAACAACATGGCGGTGTCTTTGCGAACGGAGTGCAGTAGAGTGATTATGAGAAGCAGGTTTTGAGCTTTACTTTTTTATGTTACTAGAAACGTTAGGCTGGACAAGTCGTTGTTATTCTCTGTTCCCTTTGTGACAGCGTGAAGTGCTAGTGACGTATTTGTCCCCAGCTCCACCGGACCGTTCGCAGACTCAGGTTGTGTGCACTTGACGTGTTACAGGTGTGGATTGTGTACGCGAGAGACGATGAGAGAGTTGGTCGCGGTAGGCAGGTGTGTCAGGTGTGCCCGCTTTAATGACGTGAACAGGTGAGTTAAACATGAAGGCTGTCGAGATGGTCCGTCTCCCTGTTTCTGCTGTAGCTTTACTGCTAATATTATCGATGTTGTTACTATTCAGTATGTTCTGAGACAGATAAGTCAACACTGTTCGTTAGTTTTCCTCGACACCAACACTGAGAAGAATATTTTTGGGTGATTGTACTTTGTGTCAAAATCATTCGTTTTTTAAATGCATTGTTTCCTCACTGTGTGTGTGTGTGTGTGTGTGTGTGTGTGTGTATTTATCAAATCAAACTTTAGCACCTTAACAGCGTGTTGAGCAGAATGCTTCACAATAAAACATTAAGATTTAAAAGTAAAGATAATAATAAAAGAATAGGACCTGAAGTGGACATCCAACATCAGGACCATCACCAAGAAGACACAGCAGAGGATGTACTTCCTGCTCCAGCTCAGGAAGTTCAACCTGCCCCAGCAGCTGCTGATACAGTTCTATAGGGGAATCACTGAGTCTGTTCTCTGCACCTGCAGAAAGACTCATTGGTGTGAGCCTGCCCTCCATGGAGGACCTGTACACCTCACAGGTCAAAAGGAGGGCGGAGAGGATCACTGCTGACCCCTCACACCC